AAGGACTAATTAAAAAAAATTCCCTGCTTTTCCATCTTTCTTTTCCACACAGTTGTAATTCTTAGTGAATATTTACAACAACATTGTTTGTCATTTTATATGTTGTGTAGTGTGATTGTATTTGACATTAGTAGATACTCAAATACCCAAGAGAATAATATGTTTTTAGTATTTTTCTTTTCTTTCTGGATAATGCAATCAGAGAATATTTCTTAGAACTAATTTATTACGTTAAGCTATTTTCAGAAACAGGTTTTTGTTTATTTGTCAGCAAATGTGAATGTATGGTCAGTGTGAGAAACTGATCTATTAAAGTAATTGTAAAACCATCTAGTTTTGAATAGTAATTAATTACCGAAGAGCAAGTTAGGCCTGACTATGGTCTGAAAAAATTGGTTCCTGGAAGGAGAATCTATGAATCTAAATTCAGAATCCATTTTTTCTTTGAAAGAATCTCCCATTTAGTTATTTTATTACATGATTATTTTTGTTACCAAAAGTGTGCATAAAATTCTACGATCATTAGAGTTTTAGAGTTAAAAAACAAACCGCTATAGTTTTTAAAACCTAACCCCTCAAAATCATTATGTTCCTAGGACTAATAAGGACTCGGATTTGGAAGTGATGTCAATAGTTTCATGATGGACATCTGATAACAAAGAGTTGCCCAGTCAAATGCAACCCCTCATAGGGAATTATGTAATAGTATACTTCAGTTCTCATATGGTACCGAATCACTCCTGAGAGTTTAATGTGACTAAAACAGACAGTGACTAGTTTTCCCTCATTCAGTTTATTATAGACCTGCTTGGTTGATTTTTAATTATGAGCAACAATCCGCTGAAAGATTAGTTTAACGATATTGTATTTAACAGGTTAGTAAGCCACCAATATGATTCCGAATATTGCAATTTATTACATACTTTGATTATGTATGATAACATTTTCTCTTTTAATATAGTTTAATAATCCACACAACAAACACGCCAGGAATCACAAATTGTACACTGATTTGACAACATATTCTTACAAACACCAATCAGGAGCTTTAAGACTATCATTGTATTACATCTATTAGCAAGCCATTTACCAAAAGTATTGTATTAAAAGCAATCAGTAATTTGTTTATATTGAGAAATCAAAAGTATTTTTTGAGACTACAACATACAATGAAGCATTTAGTTACCAGTACCTTCAAAACTATTTCACATCTTTTCCACAATTAACCAGTAAGCTGTATTTCTCTGTAATAAGTTGTCCTCGTATTTGTATTATTAAAAACTTAAATCTTATACAGTATTCTCTAGGTTCATCCCGCCGAGTCCCAAATAGGAAGAAACGTTATTCCTGGGTTCTACTACTTGCCACTAACCAAATTAACTGGCATTCCGTAATGCAGTTTTAAAGTATATTATTGCATGAAAAGGGAAACTATTGGTTTTATTTGCAGATTTCTTACTCACTTATTGTTTTAAGCAGAGATGAATGATGGCTAGGAGTGGAATTCTGGACAAGCTTTTATTCTCATTTGGGACTTGTCAGCTGGTGCACTTGCATCTCACACTTGAACACCAATCCGGGACTCGAACCTAGCACAGTTCATTTCATATTACTCACTTAGCTCTGAGTTCAGATAGCTACTGACTAATGCACTGGGATATATTTTAATACATCTCTGTTTGTAATGTATGTGACTTAATAGCCATATTGAGGAAATAAGTACTAGATGTACATATATCAAATAAAACTGATCTTAGCAATCAATAGGAAGATTCAAACTACCACTGCAAAGTCTTTCTTTCAAAAAATTAAGAAAATATCAATGAAAAACGATTTCATAATGGAGAGTTTATTAAATTGATAAGATGTGAGCATCAAACTGTAACAAATTTATCCAGGAAACAGAGTATGGCAATAGAACTCGAACATTTCAATAATATTTAATTCATTCTATGGGGTTTGTTAGAATTCCACCGAAGTAAACCTATCTCTTCTTTTCTAATGGGAACTCTTTGTTAGAAATCAATCAAATAGAAGTTCATCTGCATGGAACAATGAAATCATGGCAGTTCATAGTCTAAACAAATAAATAAATAGGTTCCGATCGATAAGTGACGAATAACATGTTTACGTAACTATTCCCCTTTATTCTTAAATCTCATGAGTTATGTTCATAAGCATTTACAGATAAATTTCATTTGTATTCACTGATACTTATACACCTTATAACTAGATTTCTAAACCATTATCCTAATTTTTAACCTTCTCTCAACAACAAAAACAACAACAACCAGACCACCTGAACAGATATTAAATTATTTGCACGATTCATAGTTGAATGATTTGGCGAATATTTGAATAATATATATCTATAAATATATTGTTTTATTCTATTCACTTGTTTAATATAAAAGTTACTACACCTGCGTTATACAACAAACAAGGTAATATTGTTTATTATGATCTTTTCTCTTATTTTACCGTCAATCTAATCTAACTGAGGAGAATTCAAATTCTAGAAAGTCATATCATTTGTACTTGTGTATGTATGTCTGTGTATGTATATCGACCAATTATAACTTTCACTTTTACAATGGAAAAACTTATTATTGAGAATTATAAAATATTGTAATAATAATCATTTAATCGAAAAATAACCACTTTCTTTTGTGGTTATAGTCAATCACACGCACGTTCATATATGTATATATTTACACAAATACTCATATATATCGGATGGAATTCTAAATAGTCTATTCATTTATACATTTGTCCAATAGGAGGCAAATATTTATATATATATATATATATATATATATATATATATATATATATATCTTTGCATGTAACTATTTATAGATGAAAACATGACGATATCTATTGAAGAGATGAATAACAATAATAGCAGTAAAAATTAATGTCACATTGTTTTAGCACGCAATCATTTTGTTTTCTCTATAAGAAAAATGCTCTGGTTCCAATTATTCATAAAGAAGCGGTTGAAAGAATCGAAAATTTATTCTTTGTACAGGTGTGTTTTCTATAGAGATAATTTACCTGGATTCATTCATTATGATAGACAAATGCTAAGTTGATTTCAATCAACACAGATTGTGATTGTATTAGGAGGCATGTCAAATATTAGTTATATACAGAAAACGAAAAATAAATGAAATTCTATTTAAACAAGTTTATTTATTGAATTTTTTTTAAATATTGAATAAAGATGTATATTAGGTATAAATTATCTGTCAGTAAAAATTGCTAGCAATTAATTTCAAAGTTGATTTCTATACAATAGAATAAATTCTTGATGCTATTCGAATGGATGATAATTTATTGGTCTCGTTTACTTTTTAACTAGACGGTAGGAATTTCTTTTTAACTTGTTTCTTTTTTCTCGTTAAGATTGAGAGACATTCTCAAACTGATGGAGTTAAGGTATTTTATGTAAATATTCAATTAAAAACTATTATTAGTTCTCTGACTATTTTTTTATGAATCATACCCTTGTGTGGGAATCTACGTACAAGATCGTTTATAAGTAGTAAGCAGCATATATATTTATTTCATTTGAACTTGCCTTGTTCTTACAACCTGTTGAACAAAATAGGAAATTTCTAAAACATAATTTCGAAATGTACTAGTGAAATAATATTTTAAAAATTTCTTTGGGGTTGTGAAGATTGTTAAGTTACAAATTTTTGAAACCATGATTCAATCAATGCTAGCCCACAATTAGAAACATGGAGGCACTGAACAGCCGTTACGTCCTGGTATCGGACTCATCAGCAGTGCGCATCCATGAGTCCCACAGCAGGACGAAACAGCCGTCCAGTGCTTCCAGATTTCTAATGGTGGTTTTACATTGATCGATTCATGCTTTCAAAAATGTGTAACTTTGATTTTTTTTTAACTGTCATTAGTATTAAATTTATAAACTTTCTAAAGTCGATGGCAGTCATATGCAGATCGCCTTGTTTTGTAAGTAGTATTTATCACAAATCGATATCATTTAGAGTGTCACTAAAAGCCCAGACAATATTTGACTACTGTTTAGATCTAGTATAGGACATTTAACCAGTTCAAACCAACTCTGTAAATTTGTTTTAACAGTATTTTATGATCAGAAAATAGCACTGTAGTACATTCTATAATATTACATCTGAATGTAAACTTCTTTTGAATTATGAAAATTATTCATGACAGTGATATCCACAGACATGAATACTGTATACATGATTCTGCTTGAAACCTGTAAATTACGCATCCAATATTACTTTCCCATGTCAATTAAAAAACTGAGGCGAATTTCATCTTGAAATTACACCAATTAAAAAGTCATTTAAAGCTAACAAGAAAAAAAGACAATCACTTCACCTTAGTCTTAGATCGTCTCAGCAACTCTTTATCACAACTTCATGAAAGTTAATTAATGCATTCGATTTTACCGGAACAGAGTTTCACGAATTTCCTAAATCTTTTATTTCTTGAAAAAAATGACTTATTATTAACTTGTGCGTTAAGTAGTAAGTAATATACACTCCAATTATTACTGATAACAACAATAAGAAATCGTTAAAAATCAATTCTATATTTTACATAATTCATGACAATTTATTGTATCTGTACATTGATATCAAGTAAACGAAATGAAATGAAATGTATTCATTTTTATGTAAAATGACTGAACTACCTCTCTTTTATATGAAGAAAAAAAGAAGAAAAAACACAATCTACATGACATGAAACTAAGATGAAAAATAGGTCAGAAATGGTAATAATCATTAGATATACATGTGTACAGAGATTATTTATAGGATGAATTGAAAAAAAAATATCTACATATCTACTTCTACAGATTTGATCTTATCTAAACTGTGTTGTTCATTAGTAAATACAAATAATCAAACAACTGTTCAGTAAGGTATTTTTCCTATTTAAAAAAATTGTTCATTAGTTTAATCAAATTAGTGATGATTTCAATAGAATATTTCGGATCAAGCAAATTTAATGGGAAGATAAGAATTATGTGTTCTAATTGTATTCGTGTTAGTTTTTCGATTGTTAGTACGATGATTTGATTCTGTAGTTTGACTACATTGTAGCATATGTTTATTCAAAAGACCCATACGTGAAAATGAACGTGGACAATGTGGACAAGAGTATCGTTTTTCACGTTGATGTGTTTGCATATGTGCTCTTAAGTTGGATCGATCTGCAAATGATCGACTACAAACAGTGCATGAATATGGTCTTTCACCAGTATGTGTACGTTCATGTCCTTTCAGTAGCCATTTACGTGAAAATGACTTACCACAATGTGTACATCGACATGGTAATGTATGAGTACGTACATGCATTTTCAAAGCAGATGCTTGTGTATAAACTTTGGAACAGAGTTTACAAGCATAACTATTCGATCCATTGAGAATTGTTGTACGATCAATATTTTTTGTATTAGTACATTTTGAAATAGTTGGATTGACAGAATAGCTCTTTGCTTTTATATTACAAACATTGACTAACTTTGAAGTATCTTTTGTTATTGAATGAAGACCAGCATGAGTCATTTGAACTGGTGAATAGGATTGTAGTGGAGGTGTTGTTGATGTAATCGTTGAAAGACGATTTAACAACATAGTTTGATAGTTATTAACTGAGAAGTTAGACTGTATATGACCAGGTAAATTAGACAAATCATATGAATAATTAGATCCTCGTATATCTGAATTATTTGAAACCGATTCACTAGAATGATAACATCCGAATTTGTTTGTATTTTCAGTATCTTTTGAATAGTGGCTGATACGAAAACTAGAGTTAATATTGTTTAAGCTATTCACATCACAGGATTTATTATTATTTTGATAATGAATATGATTATTATGAAATAAATGAGGAATAGGACTTGATGTAGACGAGTTTCCTGTTATTTGTGACGATTGATAAAGAAGATATCGAAACCATTCAAAATAATTGAGTTGTATTAATTTATGGTAGTATTCATAAACTGCTGGATTTGACAATGAAGCATCATTCATTTCTGTATTATGATGATCTGTCTTTTCAGATTGTGCAGTGGGTATTGTTTTAAAGAAATTTCCATTTTTCATTGACAAATTGATAGCATGATGTTCATCAGTCGACTGTTCATGAGTATGTTCCGAGCAATGTCGACATTGATCAGGAATATGACTGGTTAATTTTTCATTAGGGGATCCATAATCTTGTCTGATATTACCACTGACAGAATATCTACTGTTCAATATTGATTCATTAGGTAGAGTGGTATATAAATTACTTGTTTTATTCATTTTAATATGATCTGAATTACAGCAGAATCCATTCATCTCACTACTGATTTGATACTTTTCTTCATTACCTAATTTACCGAAGAATTCCTTATTATGAAAATCACTAGTATTTTTTTCAATTTCAATTTCTTTAATTTGATGACTCAATGGTTGGTTCTCTGTATGAGATTTATTATTATCTGTTGAAAAATGCTGAGAATAACCTAGACTAGAATCATGTGGACTAGATTTTTCCAATGGACTACTTGGCAATGTACCTAGTGTCGTATTGCTACAATTGAAATCGGATATATTCAACTCACATTGTCCACTACCACGATTCATGGTTAAATCTTGAATAGATCTATCTGAAGATAATTCATAATTGTTGAATGATTTTTGTAACATATCAAATTGTGGTAAAGTTTTTAAAAATTTATGAAAAAATTCTTGAAATAATTGTAAATTACTATTATTATGATCTTGTATTTGATGTTCATTAGTAGTAATACACTGATTCATTAATGTTTGACTCAAATAATTATTGTACAAGTAGGGATCTTTAGATTTTGTGGAAATAATGCATGAATTTGTTTCAGATGAATGAAATTTACTAAACACATTTGAAAATTGTTGCATCATATTTACGTTGTTGTATAATGATGGTGAAGATGATGATGATGATGACGATGGTGTCATGTCAACAAGATGACTGAGTTCACAATGTGGAGAAATCCATGTGTCTGTCGACATTATTTTAAATATTTATCGCTGATATAAAGTTTAATGCGTTTGAATGAAGATAATTTATGACTTCTGAATAATAACGATTGAAAATACAATGCTGTAAGATAAATTTATACAGTAAATTGTTTAATATGACATTTTAACGAGAAATAAGATACGTTGTTAATATTAGATTACAAAAAATTCCTCTGTTAAAACTTTCGAATCATTTCATGTTTGGCTTAAACAGTTATCATTTCATCAGAAGAATCTAATTATCGTCAATACTGAAATGAATAATAATTCCATTGGGAAATTTTCAGTTACTATTTTTGCTTATAGTCAGAAGTGAAATCTTCTTTAGGATACAACATATAAATGTTAATTTCCAATGGAGTTTAGAGTTTTGTTTTATTCTTTAGTTTTATTCTGACTTTAGACGATTTTTTAAATGTTACATTTTTTTCCGGTCAATAATAATCCACAGAAATATGTTTTATAGATTAACAAAACTGTTATCATAGGTAGGTGAGGAAGGTATCACTGTTTATATTGAATGATTGTCACTTTATATCTCAAAGAGATGAAAACTATAAATGAGGATCATTGGATTTCGGATCAGTGAATTACGAATACGTTATGCTTCTTTATGAGACCTGAGGAACCAGTGTGTGAATCGGTGTTATATTAAAGAATGTAGACTAGTAATAAGTCTCGATGCAAAATGAGGCGCTTCTTGAATTTTAATGGATCTATAGGTTTTGTTAATTTGTGACAGAACATATTTTCGAAGTTTACTACTGTTCATAAATCATATCCTTGAATAATTACAGGACAGTGATGACGAAATAAATATTGAATACAGTTAAGTTTATATAAAGTAGATAACAGTGTGAGCCGAGTTATAAGATACAAGTGACGGCATGACATTTTATTTCATTAATTTATAAGGATAAATTTTTGCGCAAAATTCTATCTGCTTAATCTCTCATCACTGAAAATTTATATGAGAAAAAAGCTGATAGCATCCACCTATTACAAAGGAATATCTTATTGATATTAGCTGGTTTCCAGAACCAAACAAAATACTCTAGAAACAGGTGAAATCAATCACTGATCAATGATTCTGTTTAGTTGGATAAATAAATCTGAAATGAACTCCTTCAATAATTAATTAGAAATCCAAACATTATCCAAATGAAAATTTGTTATGACATAAAACTCTTTTATAGTTTTCTTAAAAATACTATTGTCGACAATTTACAAATTATAAATGAGCAAGGTATTTTAATGTAATCACCAATCAATTGTTGTTAAACCACCATTAGAAATCTGGAAGCACTGAACGACCATTTAATCCCGGTATGAGACTGATCAGCAGTGCGCATCCATGATTCCTCCACCTCACAGGATTCGAACCCGGGACCTGCGGTCTTGTGCGCGAACGCCTAACCTATGGACCACTGAGCAGGCATCCAACGGTGTTAATGTCTAACTCTGATCAATCTAGAGATTTTGCGTCACCTCATCCATTTGTCTTTGGTAGTTACTCCCTACACCCGACAAGGTTGAACTCCACAAATCAGGTCTTCTCACTAGAACTCCAAGAATTCGCTCACGAAGCTGGTCACCAGTAAACGAAACAGCCATCCAGAGCTTCCAGGTTCCTAATGGTGGTCTAACAATCATTGATTGATGATTTCAATGTGCGAAATCACTAATCTCTTATCGATATATGTGAATACACATCAATGTACTTATAAAATTAACTGTAGAAGTAAGTTTATTTCACCATTGAGAAACACATTGAATATAATTTTTTAATGATAAAAATTGTTGAGATAATTATTAAATGTAACTAATACATTTTGTATACTTTACATTGTCATATAACAATAATCATTGAAGTTTCACATTTACATCATCATTGTTAACTATCATTATCAATGAAAATTAGAAGTTCAGTTGGTAGTGATTAATTCTATATAAATAGTTACCTTAAATGCTTTGAACTTGATTGATCAGTTTGACATTATTTTTACTCTGCATATTCCATTAATCATGGAAGTTTTACTTAAAGGCTTAAATAACTAATAGTCATCTTGGTTTTGTAACTTTGAAGTCCATTTAACTTGAATCAGTTTGGGAACTGGAAGGTTTGTCTATGTATCAGTTACCAATAAACATTTGGTTTTCTATTCCTTAATTCAGTTCCTTTTTATGACATTAAATTAAGGAGGGATATTCTTTTAGGATAGAAGACTAATGCATTGGCATGGATTCATTAAGTATCTCGTAACCATACAAAGTCATTATTGTATAAAAATCAATATAATATTTGGTAAATATTAGATAATCATATCTAAGAAATAAAGCAACAGGTATTTATGTTGAATTTCGATCATGTACCAAACATTGCAAATATTGAGAAGTGATCTACACAGAAAAACAGTCATTTGTTTCATTTTTTTCATTAGATGCAAGCAGCCTTAAATCAAGTATCCATGTAGTTACTCCCTCAAGTAATAAAATCTTACAAAGACGATGATTTGCATCAGATTGCTTCTTATTTCTTCTAACTGCAGATCATCATGATCATAATATGACCTTCAAATATCGTGGTAAGCTCAGTTAACCTCTGGTTCATATTTTCTTTTTTGGTTAGAGTATGGTGTAACAAGATCTTCAACTTATTTTCACTAATAATATCGCTTTTTCATCTCTAACTTGACTAAATCAATAAGTCAAGGTTTCCTTCAAAACACTAGAAGATCAACCGATAAGTTTGTCACAAGTCAACAAGTGATAATAATTTAGTTGTACAGATTTGTGGAAACATTTCTAAATACCTGCAAAGTCATTCACTGATAAATAATGCTGAACGAGAAACGAAGTAAATAACAAATAAAGTTAATCTATCTATTAAAAAAATCTCCCACTTAGTTATGTCTAAATGCAAAAAATAGCTACAATGTAAAGTTTATTTCAACAGCGAAACCGTTTCTAGAAAAATTATTTTAGATACAATTCACTCTATTGAAGTGGATTATAGAATCAAATAACTTTTCCAACTAAAAACATTACAGCATTTTACAATAATTGGTTTTGGTCATTAAAATGAAAGGTGAAGAAACCTAGTATCGATTATTGTTTACTCAACATCTTCACCAAACTACCTTAGATACATATCATACAGTCACTGGCAGTCTGACAGTTAAAGACTGAACAATAGTACATCAACTTCGATGATTTACGTTGCTTATTTCTCTACCTTGTTGTTATCAGACTTCAATTTGGTTTTGTTTGATTTATGACTACTCAAATGGCTATTAAAGCTGTTCACATAAAAATTCATTTGATTAAATCTTATGTTTTATTTAAAAAAAAAACTAAATAGGAAAGTTAATTTCCTTTTTATTTAAATAGTAAACTCATCAAAGAAAAAACGAACAGTCTAAAATCATATAATAATTACCGATTTCAATTGACTATGATCATAAAATACAAATCAAAACACTTAAAGTGAAATTATATTGAAGAAATGTTGAATCTGCTCACAGATGTTTGTGGTAGTGACACGTGTTCAGTGTAGTTCACTAGCATAGTCAGAAGTAATTATTATTCGACTTTTTTATTGTATGACTTTATGATCGTTATTATATGAGTTGCTTATGAAAGGGACTGGTAAATATTTAATATATGCAAAATTTATATAGATTTTAATGGACAATTAAATTCAGTGTTACATGAGTCTTGCAATACTTGTCTTCATTTGACCACAACAAGCACTCTATGGATCGTGCTATGACTTTAAGGTATCTGATATTGAGATGAAACATGAATGTCAATTTTAGTGCTTATATATGAATGGTGGAGTATGAATGAAATATTTTATTCTACCTAATTGTTAAAGATAGTGTTTTTTGAAGGTTCCTATATGACACACTTGCTTTAGGTTAAGTTTTAATTCTTAAAGCTCCCCAAAAGTTTATTTCTGGCTAAGTCTTACAGCTGTTCATGTTTTTAATGATAGGAGCATCGCACGTCATTCTCTTGTTCAGTCCCTTACTCAAACTAATACAGCTTTGCAACACATTATCTTTAAATTTGAACATTACTTCTTAATTTTTAGAATAAGAAAGCATACAATTTTCAGAATTGGACTAAATAGATCAGGGCATGAATTCTCAATTCCACCGAAACCTTTTGCACGAAAACTGCTAGCATTTCATTGTCATGATATTATCAATGAAGAGTTTAATGAAAATGAAATCAATTTTTTTAAATGTTCTAGTTTAATAATGTATACTGACATTCTACAAAGGGAATACCTATACGAGAGTTTATTTTCATTCAAACATTAACCATTTACTGTAGCTCAAAGTCAGGTAATTCAATTTTCAATTGATTAATGAGTCAATAGAATAAAACAGCATAAATGCATTACTTATTTCGTATACAACAATGATTTGACAATTCATGTAATCCATTGTGTCAGTGAATAAAACTAAACGGGATTTAGGGAAGAATATATTTTTTGTTTCAATGAAATCACTTACTTGTGATATTTAAGGCAATTTCTTCTATCATTCTATAGACTTATATATTTATTAAATAACTATTAATACAAATGTATAGTTTCAGTAAATGATTTCGATGAAAAGAACCACTATACAGAATAATGTTCAAAGCCAGATGAAATTTGTTGCAAAGCTATGTTACTTTGAGTTAGGGACTGAACAAGTGAATAATGTGCTATATTTCTATCACTAAAAACATGAACAGCTGTGAGAACTAAACAGAAATAGATTTTAGGGAGCCTCAAGAATTGGAACTTTACCTACAACAATGATTAGAGAAAGACTGCATCATATAAGAATGTAATAGGATATTTGAAAAATAAAATCTTTTAATTTTAGTAAAAATAAAAACTAGATTGAAATAAATGAAGCACTGACTAGTGGTTCAAAGCTTATCTTCAGTAAACATAAATTTCCTTTCTATTTACTGTTAATTCAACACTAAAT